CTTTTTTTAAATTACAAATAGTGTGTTTTCCAAAAAAAAAAAAAAAATCACAGAATACAAATTTGCAGGAAATTGCAACTTTAAAATTGCAACCAGGGAAATATTCATAGCCCAATATGTTCCCTTCCAAGGGAACTATACGCTGCGTCATGATGTCATGACACTATGGGAACTCCCAAATAGTTGTATCTCAGCCAGATATTGTCCTATCCTAACAAACCATACATCAATGGAAAGCCTATTTATTCAGCTTTCAGATGATGTATAAATCTCAATTAAAAATAAATAAATAAATAAATAACCATGTGACTGGTTTTGTGGTCCAGAGTCACATATGTAAATAAGAGTAATGTGACTTAAATGAAGTGCCAAATTGCAGAGCTTGTGCAAACATATCCCTATTGGTATAATTTTGTCCTCGATCTTGAATTGAGATTGAGCTTTTAGATATCCCCCATTAGTTAAAGACATACAGTATAGGACTACAGAGTTATAAATGTGGGCCTAAAGGTGGAGATAGGGAGGAGGAGGGATGCTGAACAAATATCATGGGAGAGAAGAAAACAAATATACTTCTTATATATTGTATCCTTCAAACATGATTGACAGGATAAGGTTAATAAGCTTCTTCTGAGCTTGCATTATGAACTTCCTTAAGAAGCAGGTGATGAGACAAAAGAAAGAGTTGGTGGTCACCAAAACTCCAGTAGTAGGATGCAGAGAACTTAATTGGCATGTGTCAAATGACTCTCCACTGTGATATACCTTTAGAGTAGAAATCCAAACTATCCCCCATTAGTTAAAGACATACAGTATAGGACTACAGAGTTATACATGTGGGCCTAAAGGTGGAGATAGGGAGGAGGAGGGATGCTGAACAAATATCATGGGAGAGAAGAAAACAAATCTACTTCTTATATACTGTATCCTTCAAACATGATTGACAGGATAAGGTTAATAAGCTTCTTCTGAGCTTGCATTATGAACTTCCTTAAGAAGCAGGTGATGAGACAAAAGAAAGTGTTGGTGGTCACCAAAACTCCAGTAGTAGGATGCAGAGAACTTAATTGGCATGTGTCAAATGACTCTCCACTGTGATATACCTTTAGAGTAGAAAGCCAAACTGATCCGTTGCTCTGACTTCCCATTGGGAGCTTTGTTTATTGAGGAGGTGGAGATTTTGGCCGAGGAAATCTGTGCTGTAAGTCGTGAGGAGCATCTGAGGGCCTGGCAGGAGGTTTTATGTACTGCGCATATAATTGTTTATTTAACCTGCGTGGAAAGAGTATTTGACATTTAATCCTTTTGGATAAGGGAGGAATGGCAAGACTTGAATGGGGATTTTTTCAGCAGAACTCCTGTTGAGTGAATTTTGAAGCGAGTTTGAAGAACCGTAACAGATGTTTTTGAAAGCAGGCAGGTATTAAATCCCTTCTAAACTGAGGAATCAGTGGTGGGTTGTAAAAATAATCCTCAGAGGTAAGATTTTCCCAACATGTGACACAGTTGTTTCTCTGGATGTAGGTGGGACCAGTAGGAACGAATTGCTGAAAGGTGTAACGACAGTAGCTTACCGCTGGCCTAAGTCCAGACTCATGACAGTAGTGTGTTGCCAAGAAAGAACTGTGACAACATTGTCTTCTGAGCTATGAAAGAGCAATCTTCAAGCAATAAAACTCTTCTGGAACCAATTATGTGTGTTTTATTAAAATATTAGACACTCTTAGGCATGTCACCACCATGTTCCCATAACACAAAACCATCTTTAGTCCTTAGTACTGGCTGCACAGCTTGGGGAATCTGTCTTTGGTTTGCATGTTGAAAATCCAGGATCAAACACTAATTTAAAACATATGAATATCTTTGACTTCAGACAAAGCAGGCTTTCGTAATGAGTCTAGAATAAAAAAAAAACAGACATTCTGTAATCAAAGCTGCTCTGTAAACCATGTATTTAGACTAAAACATCAAATAGAAACATCTTTTCAGCAAGACAAATTGTATTTGGATTAAAATGTCTACAGGAAAATAATCTTTATTTATTGACACACAACGAAGATGTATTGTTTTATTGACCTTCATGTAGTTTGTCTTGGTTTTCTTGACTTTTCATGTTCCCACATTTCAGAATCATGATCTTATTACAAGGACAGATGTCAAGATGCAAACTGGCTCAAGTAAACTGAATCAATGACATTATCAGGAACAAAAATCGAGGTGGGACACTATGTTTGACGAGGACCATTTGAGTGACTGGCTTATATTAAACCAAAACATTACAAATCTGTCAGTTTTACTGATCTTCTGAAATTGTCTAAGGGGTCTTATGTTGTTTATGCCAGTAGAAGGTGGATGTACGGTACCTTTGCATAGACACAGCTGTCACTCAGCGTCCAAGAGCTGCAGTTGCCTTCACACATCGGGCACATGATGGTGGTGTTGGCCTCACATATCTCTTTACTGAAACACAAAAGAAAAACTAATTTGAATCAGTGCTTTATTAGGGAAACGATAAACACTGGTGAATGAAAATGGCATCATTACGGGTAAACTTTGACATATGGACTACTGGGACCTGGTCCAGGCATACTGGGGGCTATTCTGAAATGACTAAACATACCTGCAGGGACTAACCTTACTTGGCTGGAGTCCATGGTGAAAAGCCCATAGAGGAAGACGAAGAGGCCGACTAAAGCAGCAGGGATCAGCATACCTGTATACCAGCCCAACCAGGCGAAATACAGCCCAATCTTCTCCCCAAAGTACCGCCTATGAAAAATCAGCAAGAAACAACATTCATTAGGGTTCCGTTCATATTTATAGCATTTATTAATGTTGATTAACATTAATATATATAGGACCTCAAGCCCATCGAGCAAATTTGGGGAGAGTTGGAAAATGAACTGGACAGATCTATTGTACATTCAAAGGAAAGCCTTTGGCTTGAGTTGCAGAAGGCATGGGATAACATTAGTGTTGAAGTTCGCAGGAAATATATTGACGCTATGCCAGATAGATGTGCTGCTGTAATTGCTGCAAAAGGTGGACATACCAAACATTAAAGTTAAAAGTGGATAAAAACAGTACGAATCACTTCATCTGATATTTTTTGTGCTCAGAGCAACCATCTGCATGTTTCATGAACATTATGAAATGAAATCATGTTTTGGAGGCAAAAAAGATCAATATTTTCAGATCTGTCAGGTGTTCTAACAATTTTGGCCACCACTGTAAATATACTACTGTCCAATGTTAATAGTGTCTTTTTGAGACTACAAAAATTAAATGAATTAGATTTTTCTTTATGCTAAATAAGTATCTCAAAGTGTCCAAACTATTTTATTTATGTATTTAGTAAAAATCAATGTGTTTGTAAGAATACCAAAAACTAAACTAATTTTATTTGGATATGCTACAAAAAAATAAATTAATAATAATAATAATATATAAAATACATACATACATCTACGCTGCTGCTGCAGAGCAAGTACCGAGACTTGCTACTGCCAATACATTTACAACATGCTACTGTGAGCATGTAAGAAATACTGTTACTGCACATATAACATATATAAAATAACCTCTATACAGTATATATCATACATTAATACCCCTTAGCAGATCTATACAGGTGGAGCTGGGGATGGAGGAGGGTTTCTGAAGAGCGTTGCTACTGCTACAGCAAGCACTACTCAAGTATTTGAGTGTTGAGCAGCGAGCTCATTGGCTGCAAATACAAAAACAACCAATCGGCTGTGCCATGTGATGATGTCATTAAGTCAGATTGAGTTAGACCTATCAGACTGCGCCATCTAGAGTTTAATGACAGAACTTTGGATTTATTTTCTGCTGATGTCAACTTGCCCGTGTGGGCTAAATAGATAGTCTAAGCCAATCTAAGCAAACTTTATTTAAATCATTGCATTGTAAAAGTGTTTTTAATAAATGAATAGATCGGGACACACACACACACACACACACAATGACCCTATATGCCCCAGATACATAGGATAGATACATACTGTAGATTAACAGCAGGGAAGACTCAAGGTGACTAAAAACAGGAACATCCATTCACTTAAAACATACCAGGTCAGGACGGTTACATCATTCTGAAAATGGAGGGTGACCTTACTCTCAAACTGATGAGCAGCTACCAGCAGAGAGATGCTGAGTCTGCAGATCACCATCGCAGTTATTTTCCTGTCTCCACTTTAAGAGCTGAGTGATCTAATTCAGCTTCAATATACGTTTGTTATGAGCCTGAGACTGCATTTTCTCTCGCTCTATTTGACTACAGCTGAGATTTACACTAGAAAGCCGCGGTCAGCTACACCAATACAGTCCTGCACATATGAATGAGTTAGTGAGATTAAAGCTGTTCTCACACAGCAAATATTTCCTTTCAGGCTTTGACTGCCTTTCTAGTTACCAAGAGCTTTTCAGAAACAAAGACTTTTGAGAAAGGCTCAAACAAACAGACTGAAAGCTGTTGTGAAGACTAGGCTTTCTAGGCTTTATTCACAAGGCACTTAATTATGTTTTCAAAATGAATAAAAAATCATATGCATAGTACATATCTGGCTCAGATCAACAGTTGTGTTTTGTTACTGTGTTTTGTGCCTACTGGCAGTTTTAGTTTCATATTTCAATATTGATTTAAAAACAGTAATACCCATTTATTATCAATATTTATGCAATATTGAATAAATATTTATTTCTAAAGCTACTTTTGTAATGTTTTTCAATGCTTTTCTCATCTAACACAATAATCATGTTAAATAATCTTTTTGAGGGGTCATTTCTCTATCACCAAATAGATATTAGTGATTAACTGAATATGAATAGATGTGTCCAAAAGTGTCCAGATACTTCTATATGATATATATTGTGTTTTTGTAAACTGCTGTGTGTGTGTTTCTTACCGTATGAGGTCTAGAGGTTGGTATTTGTACCAGATCCCCCAGCGCGCCCATCTCTCGTACAGAAGGTGTCTGTGGTTTTGAGCCCCATGGGTTTTAATCGGATGTCTGCTTTTATAACTTCCCTAGAAATACAAAAGCAAAGTTTTCCATATTGCACACAAACACTTCAACAGTAACAAAAAAATTGAAGTAAAAAAAAAAATATAATAATAATAAACTTTGTGACTGGTAATAAATTTCAGTCATTTTACCTCATGTGGAGGAAACGCTGCTTCATATGTGCTGTTGCCAAGTAACCGATTAATACCTGCAAAATAGATGGAAACAGAATAAAACAAGCATGTTTCTAACCTTTTTTTAAATTCTTTTTTTTTCAGTCTTGGCATCTCTTTGCCATATCAGTTCCCAGAATGACAATGACAGTTGATGATTAATTTAGAGAAACACACACACACACACACACACACACACACACACACACACACACACACACACACACACACACACACACACACACACACACACACACACACACACATGTTGTGTTTCCATGTTTTATGGGGACATTCCATAGGCGTAATGGTTTTTATACTGTACAAACTGTATGTGCTATTGCCCTACACCAACCCTACCCCTAAACCTACCCCTTACAGGAAACTTTGTGCATTTTTACTTTCTCAAAAAAACTCACTCTGTATGATTTATAAGCTTGTTTCCTCATGGGGACCTCAAAAATGTCCCCACAAGGTCAAAATTTACTAGTATTACTATACTTGTGGGGACATTTGGTCCCCATAACGTGATAAATACCAGGTACACACACACACACACAAGAAACTATCATAAACACAACATATAATTTCACATTACACATTGACCAACATCACAAACACCACAAATGGGAGGAAATAACAGACACTAATGAACATTTGCAATACATAAATACACAACAAAATCCATAAAGATACATCATGGGATGTTTCAGCTTTTAAAATTGTACACAACACACATTTTGACTCCAGAAACAGATGGGTTAGTTAGGGTGAGGTAGGTTGGGAAATTAATTTTGCCCACCAACTAGAGCGACTAGTGAATGCCCAATTTTACCAGTCTTTTAGCCAGCCAAGTTACTTATGTATTAAATATAAATAAAGCACACTACATATTTATAGGAAGGGCCTCAGTTAACTTTCTATTACCCATATATCTATATCTCTCTCTAGTGGTGGAGCTTGCCTTTTCAATATGTGGGTGCAAGTGAGCGCCTGGCTTAGGTGTGAGCTTCAGCAATTGGATTAAGCCTATATCAAATAGCTGCAGGAGGAAACTGATGGAAAATGGCTCAAAATTGTCATGATATATTTATTTAGCTAAAGGTATTTTTATGAGGAATATGCAAAATACCAAGTTAGTCCCAAGCGGACAATAAAATAGCAATAAAAAGTAACAATACCACTCCAGTATTTCTGTAGCTTCTATAACAGTGGAGAACACTGAGATTTTATATTGTTGAAATAGAAATAGTTCAGGAATTGTTGTCTTTAGTCATCAATATGGAATTATAAAATATATTTGTCACTTAAATCTTTTCCCTAGTCCATTAAAGGAATAGTTCAAAATGAAACTTTACTCACCCTCAGGCCATCTAAGACAGTTTGAGTTTATAGTAGAGGAGTTTGGTTTTTCAAGAGAACAGATTTGGAGAAATGCAGCAGCAGCATTATATTGCTTGCTCACCAATTAACTGCTTTGAAGTTAAAAATGTCTCAGTGATGGATTTGTTTCTTAAAAGATGTTAATTGACGAACTGGAGTGGTGTGGATTACTTGTGAATTACTGTGATGTTTTTATCAGCTGTTTGGACTCTCATTCTGATGGCACCCATTGACTGCAGAGGATCCATTGGTGATCCTATCTAGTGATGTGACGCTGAATTTCTCCAAATCTGATGAAGAAACAAATCCATCTAAATCTTGGGTGGCCTGAGGGTGAGTACATTTTCAACAAATCTTCATTTCTGGGTGAACTATTCCTTTAACCAAGCAAAATCAAGCACCACTGGAAATTAGTGCCAAAATCAGCCGATCAGAAATGTCTCTTCTTCAATATATCTTATTCTGTTCAAGATATAATCAAATAAGATACTAAGCAATAGTTTTTTGTCAAATGCCAGTCTTAGGCATTACAGTGGCTGGCATATATAGCAAAATATCCTCTTTGGTAGGTTGCAGGTGTTAATTTCCCAGTTTGGTTAAAGTGCAAAAAACATACATATAAAAACAGAAGAAAAAATATTGCTGTAATATCAATGTAATATTGAGCATTGGTCTCATATTGCCTATTTCTGTTTCTATACTGTATGTCATTATTAAAACATTTACAACACGCTAAATGGATGAATCTCACAAAACAGCCCATAGCACTTCTTGGTCTTATTCAGATATTTAAAAGAAAGAAAGAAAGAAAGTCAATTGCAGCATTCTTTCTAGTTTTGTCTATCTGTATAAAAGCCTTGAAACTGCATACAATTGCATACAAATCATTAATGTAAATATTTATTTTAGGCTTAGGAGATATTTCAACAAACAAACAAGCATCCAGATGCATTGTGGTGTTAAGAATTTGCGGGAATGTGTTTAAATCTTGATGGACCAAAGAAGTACATATGTGACCCTAAACCACAAAACCAGTCATAAGGGTCAATTTTTCGACCTGAAAGATTAACAAATAAGCTTTCCATTGATGTATGGTTTGTTAGGATAGGACAATTGTTGGTCGAGATACAACTCTTTGAAAATCTGGAATCTGAGGGTGCAAATAAATCAAAATATTGAGAAAATCGCCGTTAAAGTTGTCTAAATGAAGCTTTTAGCAATGCATATTACTAATCAAAAATTAAGTTTTGATATATTTATGGTAGGAAATTTACAAAATATCTTCATGGAACATGTTCTTTACTTAATATCCTAATGATTTTTGGCAAAAAAGAAATATCATTAATTTTGACCCATACAATGTATTTTTGGCTATTGCTACAAATATACCCCAGCGACTTAAGAATGGTTTTGTGGTCTAGGGTCACATATACTGTATAGTTCCCTTTCAAGGGAACTTCGAACTGCTTCCTCTAGGGGTCGCTATGGGGAGACTAGAGGACGCAGTGTATCGTTCTCTACTCAGGGAACCATGGTTACATATGTAACCTGAGACGTTCCCTTTCAAGGGAACTTCGAACTGCGCCCTATAGTTTCCCCATAGCGACCCCTAGAGGACGCAGTGTCTCGTTCCCTACTCAGGGAACCATGGTTACATACGTAACCTGAGACATTTTTTTTTAAATAGTTTTTGTTAATAAACCTTTATACAGAAAAGACAATTCATGAAATTGATCAAACGTGACTGTAAAGACTTGCTATTAAAATATGTCTTTATGTAATAAACAACGTTATTTTGAAAATTAATCAAGAATTCATAAAAATCAGTGTTTCTACAAAAATATTATGCAGCAAATTAAGTTTTTCATAAATTACATATTAAATCATATAAATTTACCAGATAGAAAATTTATTTTTAATTCATTTGCATAGTGGTGCAAAAAAAAAGAAAAAAAAAAGAAAACCTGGACATTTCAAATTTGTGAGATTCAACCCAAAACAGAGTTAAAAAAGCACACTCTGTCCTGCTGATGCTACTTTGAGAGGTGTGATGATATTTGGGCGTCCCTGTGTGACCGTACAACAGAGACTGTACAGCACTGTACGCACCTTCCCATGAACTCCCTGACTGGCCCATGAGGAGCCGCTCGTGATGCCCATAATAATTAAGCAGATACAGACAACACAACGGAGGAGCTGCAGAGAGACGGAGACCGTGTGACCAGCAGAGGCATGCAAATACAAGCTCACACATGGGACCATGAGGGACACTGACAGATGGGGCCCATTTCAGTTCTGTGATGTTTATAATGCGATTAGTGCTGGTCCTAATGATGGAGTTTGAAGGCTTAATGGGTGTGTGGTGAAGGACTGGAATACTGAAAATAAACCCTAGTTAAGAAAAAAAAATTTAAAATGTATTTGAAAAATATTTATTTTGTGCTAAGTATACTACAAAAACATTTACATATTTATGTGCTTAATAAAAATACCCTGCAGTTGTACTTTTGGTACTGGTATACTTCTGCTAAATTGGAACAACTAATTCTGTGCTTAATGCACTTTAATTGTGTGGAAGAAGTGCTAAAGTCCAACTACAGATGTACTGAAGTGTATTTGATTGTGCTAAAGTGGAACTATTGCGAGTATACGTCAGGTACAGTTTAAATTTCTTGCATTTAAAGACTGGTATTATACAGAGAACATACCATCCTTATTAATAGTGATATTAAAACACATTTTAGGCAAAATATAAAGAAATGTGCATTGTGCAAAAAATAAATAAACAAAGTCTTAACTAATATGTCAATAAATACGTTAATTGATCTCTATGAATCTCGCTCCGGTTACTAACGCAACCTCAGTTTCCTGAGGTAAGGGAACGAGCGCTGAGCCAGCTTTTGCCGATTATGGGGAACTCCTGTTTACTCTGTTACTGAAGCCTGATTTGTTAAAGTTTGTGTAGCTGCACAAACCAGTGGTACTTGAGCCCGCCAGAAAAGGCGGAGCAGACTGCTATATAAGTCGGCCCGGAGCGCCATCTCATCAGAATCATTTGACTGAAGCGACAGCCATCAATTCGTGTGCAGCTTAAAGCACAGCATGTCACTCAAAGCTTGTTCCCTTATCTCAGGGAACCAAGGTTACGTTAGTAACCAAAGCATTCTCTATCGAAAGATATCTCCGACTATGTGGATTTCAGAATGTGCACAAAGCTTAGCGTGTGCACTTACCATAGCATGGATTTAAGAGCTTCCCAAGCATCTGCTCACAGATGCCCGGAAGTACTGAACCAAACGGGAGTGACAAGCTCAAAGATAATCCTCTGAGACGAGGGGAGCACTGCCTGAGACAGCATTTAACAAGAAGGTTCTCGCAAATGCCACCTATACTTCTCTCTCGATGCCTCAGCAAGAGGGGATATCCTGGTGACCAGGAAGCCCCTCAGGGCGACCTAGATACGGCGTACCAGACAGGGCAGCCTGAAAGCATAAACCCAGCCCGGACGTCCAGGAAATTTTGCAGTGCCGTGCCGGGGGCCTGATGATCAAGAAGGCTCCCACAGAAGCCTGTGATCTGGCCGCATGATCCAGGAAGCATGAAGCCGGAACCAGGGCTATCCTAC